TCGAAATGCACGACGGGCGACGTTCGGACGTCGGCGATTGTTTTCATTCGACGACACACGATACTCGGCACGAACGAAGCAAACGGAGCTGCTGCTGCTCCTTCACGGCTCTGGCGGGCGGCAGGCAGGGCGGGGCTCCGTGCTCCGACTCTCGTGAACCCCGTACGACCGCGAGCTGCAGCGCCGGCCACCGATGATTGTCGAGTGACGTCGATAGAGGCCGACACGACATCTTCAGTTTCAAAATGGACACGACGACTCTGTTTCGGCAAGTTCGTTCCGCGATCGCGTTTTTCTCTTGAATTTCCGGTTAATTGCGCGAGTGTTACGGCAGAAAAAAAGTGCCCGCACGATGGTGTCCCACATCAGCTTGATGCGAGAGACGAGAGGAGGCTGGCAGAAATCTATCCGGCACCGGCAGATTCAAAGGTAAGTACAGCGATACATATATTGATGGTTCAAAAAAACGAAGATTATGCGATCAACTTAGAAATAAATATCTATGCAAATTTTGTCAACAATATCGCTAAAGATTGCCAGCGCGGTGCTACAATTAATCATGATACGATTATATATGGCTCATAGCGCGATTGTCAGGACAACGTTCCTGTGTTGTTAACAAGCTGCACACACATTTGTCTTCAGCACAACAATACTATATCATACTAAATCATAATGTTAAATGCTCGGCGAAGATGTATGCCTTGGTAATCAAACGAATAATATCATGCGCAGTAGTTTTCACTGAGTATAACTACATATGAAGGAACTAAAAATAGCCAAGTTATAGGTGTGATATTTGCAAGTATTTTTATACAACAAGAATATGTTGCGCCTGTTCGAATGTTTTTTTATGATATGTGCTAAAAATGGAATACGCAAAGGCAAAAAGAAAAGATTAGGTTGCTGCAACCATTTTATTTGATCTTGCTGCGTTGATAAAGTTGTAAATTACTGTTATCCGTCGTGAAGATTCACTTTTTTATCCGCAATTCTCTTAATCTTTTACCGACCGTTTTTTTACCGACAATTTCTCGATATCTGTAAAAACTACCAACAGATATCGCGATATTAGCAAAGTTATGCTATAAGTGTACATTGCGGTAAACTTCTGACATTATTTCGTTCTCGATAAAGTTTCGTCCAATATAAAAATTTTGTTATGCTAGCAAATATACGTCTCTGCGTATTCAAGTTAATACGGAAGAAAGTCTTTTAATTATATGTTTAAACGTATGCAAACCACATTTTTTAAATAATCATTATATAATATTATAATAATTTTATAAAATCACTGCAACTTTCCTTGCATTCGTGAAATAAAATTTTATTCTTTGATTAATTCTGTTTAAATAATAATTGTTAATTTTTGCATTATGTTACGAGTATAATATTCATTTTATTTTATATTGTATATGATCAGATAAAATAATGATCATATAACGGCAATAAGTGTCTTTATATATATCTTTAATCTAAAATGTACCACCATTCCCAAATATTTAAAGAGAAAATATTCAATTTTCTCTTAAAAAGAATGATGAAATGCCAATTTGGAGTATAATAAAGATTTTCTTGCAAATTATACTATGTAAAAGCAAAAAGTTAACAAAATCATATTCTTTATATAAACTTTACTTAAACCAAAAATTTTATTTAACGTTTATTTAAGAAAATATTTCTTGTTAAAAAAGCTGTTTTAATGATTTTTGCTGAGATAAAACAATCTCCAAATTCATATTTTAGAACGCATTGCTCAAATTTTATTCGTAACTATTGAAAAAACAACGATTGCTTTTATGCGGCAAGGAATGAGCGCGTTGCAATAAACTAAGGAATAAAATCCATAAAAACGGCGCGACGTTACGTCCTCTTGAATTAGCGCGTGCATAAGTCATTTTATTGCCGGCGACGACCCCGAAGCTGGCCACCCCCCCGATGCGAAAGACAGAAGGACGGCGATGAGGAGGGTGGCCGACACAGTCCGTATGGAATCTTATCAATATTATCAGTGGACATTGCGCGATACCGCGAGATAGGTGCGAGGGGGAAAGTAGTATACGGGACGACGGGGCGGCTTGTGGTGTAGCGGGTGACCCTGGGTGGGGATGTGTTTCACGACGCAGGCGCCGTGCATGAACATTCCCCCCCGTTACGTACCGACGTCGCCGGCGTCGTCGTCGTCGTCGTCGTCGTCGCTGCTGCCGCCGCCGCCGCCGCCGTCGTCGTCGTCGAGAGAGAGACGTCGACCCGTCTCGCGCCTCCTCTCGCGTTCTCAGTTCTCCGACCGAACACACGACGGCGAGAGACTCGCGAGACTCAGGTGAAGCGACGGGGATATCGCGTCCACGGGGGTTGCGAGTCGTAATCGGTCACAGCCGAAGCCGCGGTCCTTAAAAGACGCCTCGAGACGCCCCTCGTGTGCATCGCGACGGCAACGAGGGGAAGAGGGAGGAACGACAAGCACGCGGACGGAGCAACCAGTGTTCGGCGACCTTCCTCTGGAGAGCGAAGACGGTATCAGGGAGCGAGGCAGGTGTCTCCACCGACGACAGAGGACGACCCGAGAGGGTCGAAGAGCTCGCGAGGTCAGTGAGAGGGCATCGTATCTCCGCGATTCGGTCTGTCGACCTGCGAAGGCGTGGTGGGTCGTTTCGCAACGACAACGCGACGATAACGCAGCTCCACGAAACGCCACGTGAAACGCAAGATTGATAGTGAAATCGACTGCAAGATGTGCTAGGTGAATCGGAGTATTAACAAGATAGGATACCGTGACGATAAAATCGAGGACAGACGAGTGAAGGGATAAGTTTGCTCCGCGAATTGTTATGTGTTACGCGAAAACCTTGACCGATCTCCCGCTGACATTTCCCATAACGATCTGATATCGTCGCGTGTCTGTTCGCGTGAGTGATTCGCGAGAAGCGTCGCATGCAGCGGATTTCACGGGGATCGGCGTGGCTGTATGAGCCGAGGGGGATTCCGAGAGAGACAACGACGGTGGTCGGGCATGGTCGCGGAGGATGAGGAAGAAGTACAAAAATAGCTGTCCCCGTGGTTGAGCGGAGATGCACAGCTGACCGGTCGCGTCAGAGAGATAGAGAGCGAGAGAGAAAGAAAGAGGGAAAAAGAGGTAGGAAAAGAGAGAGGGAGGGAGAAACAGCCGGACATTCGATTAACGCTAGCGAGTGCTGCGTCTCGCATCGGGACGACCGGACGAGGAATCGATCCGATCGCGGTATTCCACGTAAACTCAACTGCAAACACACCACGTGCCTTTACCGTCGTCGTGACCCGTGGACGCCTCTACTACCCTGGGCGTCGCGACATCGTCCTCCCCCTTTTTCGCACGGCCGTCGACTCATCGCGCGAAATCGAGCCGTTTCCGACGAACACTTCCTCATTCAAGCACGCAAGCGATCGAACGGCGACGTTGTGGAAATGTCCGAGCCATGCGCCTCTCCGAGACACAATCCACAATCTGCAATCTCGGTTGCCGCGAAATCTGACTTCGATCCCACGAGGTCGAACGAAACTCCCGAACATTGCGGAGGAGTGCCTGTGGTCAGCAACGTAGATTCCTTGGATGCAACGTGGATCGAAGCCTCGAGATTGTTGAACCGCATCGCAACGTCATCGCCTTGGTATTTTTCGACCGCACTCGGGTGCGCGATTGCAAATTGAATAGTGATAATTCGGCGCGTGTCGTTTGGCTTTACGCAGCGAACAACGTCAATCAAAGCGATATGAGACGCTGCCGGCGAGAGAAGACAAATCGCGTCGCGGACGAGCATCGCCGGCGAACGATCGAGTCGTCATCATAGCTGATTCTAAATCATCGACGACAGCGCGACGATCCGCGGAATCCCCTGGCCGCCAGCCGCGTCCTGGAAGTCGTGAAAACGCCGGCCTGCAAATCATATCCTCACTATAAATAGATGTTTTCTCGCGTGGATCGCGTCTCTTAAGCCACACACGCGCCGCGACGCACACTGGTACTGGCAGCGCATGTGACACGTATGTCGACCATTCGTCAAGGTGGGACCGATCTTTCCGTCGTCCTTGAATCGACGACAGGGGAAATCATCTGCGCCGGCGACCTTAGATATATATCTAGATAGACGAGAACCCCGGGTCCAAACGAACGCGCGTCGGCAGATAGAAGATACATCGAGCCTTTCGCGTGCGAAAACCCACAGCCGCGCTCTCAGCAGACAGTTTATTCGGTGCTAATATCGATATCGACGACGACGAGCGAGACCAAAAACAACGACACCGACATCTCGGTGCTTTTAGCCGACGAGTCGACACGAAACGGAAACATCCTGGACGACGGAAGCTCTTCTTCGTTTAATCTCGCGTCACTCTTTCGTATCGGTTAAGAAGCCTGAAGAGAACAACGGACGAGCGCATCGTCCGACGAAACAGCAACGAAATTCTTTCCTTTGCCTTCTCTCGAGTCAAGTCGCGTTATCTTACTCTGTCTTACGGCTGATCACTATGCTCAACTCGTGCTGTGCTTTTTTCTACCGTGCTCGTGCCGCATTGTACGCCGCGAGTGTTTTCCTAGTGCTTTAGTGTTACTACGCGGTATATATTAATTGATAGAAATAGGGCCCGTTGCGCCCACGGTCGAACGCGGAAGTCTCGACTGCCCAGATATCTGGGTAACCTGTTCCTGAGATGCCTGTTAGACGGGGTCACGTGGCGCCTAGAACTACGATTATCGAGACCATCATCAGGAAGTTCGATACGCACGGTGAGTCAATCGGATAGAAATCGCGCGATCGTGCGCCCTCGTGAGCTCCGAAATGAGCGACAAACTTCTTCGATGATGACGAAACGATTGCGCAAGTAATGACGCGACGATCGTTTTATGCAGGCAATTAGTTCAAATAAAACTGTAATTCCGGCACTGCAGCGCGGAATAATCTGCTAGCTGCATTTCACGCGACAATATCGATGTCATTGCATAATATTATGTTAATTATGTAAATTATGATAATGACGTTTCCCTGTCGGTGCCGATGAATTCGCCGGTTTTACTATTTAATGCACACACCGAGTGATTTATCTAGCACAGAGTCATCAATGTCATTAAGAGACTTAAGTCTTTAATGAACGTATTAGTACGAGTGCGGAATATTATTTCATTTGATTATCATAAATTTCCATAATAACACGTGTTTTATTATTATCTTGTCCATTTATTCGAGATCGATCGAGTTTATTAATACGCGAAACTTGAAAATATATATTCTTATAGATTAACAATCAGCATAATCATTTGCATATAAATGTCGGTGCGCTTTGTTTGTTACCGCGAACGGTTTTCTTTAAAGGTCAAGACGCAAAAATGCGTTCCCGTACTCGTACGACAGGAATGTCCTCTTACAGAAATGGAAACGTAATCGAAGTATTGAGAAATGCACCGGCTGAGAGAAATATGCGGTACGTGCTGACTTTGAGGCAGGAGTTCATTTTCAATATTATGTAAAACATCCTGACTGTGGTGAGGAGCGAGTATACAAGGGCTCGGTTAAATGGGGGAAAGGGGTAGCTCTATGTCACAATGGGACAATGCATGTCACTGGCAATATCACTCTAGAAATGCCTCGAGTCCTTGCGGGAGGAGAAGCTGGCGCGAGAGGAGGATCGAATTCATTGCGGGAAGGAAGAGAGATAGCGGAAGCGTGGTAGCGCGGGAGGAGGGGGGGCACACTGACGATTTCTTTTGCATAGTCGCGATTTACTGACAAGAATGCTTCTTGAGAAGATTGCTTGTTTAGATAAGAATTTCATGCATCTTACTACACAAGATTGCAATATTTACAATTTGCAATAGAATGTATGTTTTCATATCGCAAGGTGAAAAATGTGATGTATTTTCTGCTTCGCGCATGGTGGTAGAACCATGACCGTTTTATATTCGCACAACTTTTACAAATAATATGTATCTACGCCCCAGTTATTGACGTACGGGTTAAAATTGATAGTGCGCTAGTGATATATGATATCAATACTTTGCAATTTATATGAAATACACAATATCTACTTTCAATATTATAATTCAAGGCTATCTGATTGAATCATTAGGTAGTATGAAAATTATTGCATATTTATACGCTATTATTATGACGAAAACACGATACATCTCACAATGGAACTCATTGCTATAACAAAATGCTAATATATGCATTCGCGCGTAGTTAATATCGAATTTCTTTGAATTTATGAAGAAATTTGCGTTTTCACTTAATATGGAACATTGTGGAGATACACGGAGCAGATTGAGAAATTATTCTTACGTACACATTTTAATATTCTTTAATATTGTGTTCTTTTACATTTTTATAAACGTAAAATAACATCTTGTGTACCGTTGTAAAATGTACAAATCTTGTCATCTGTTTAAATGCAATTCTGCAGATTGCATTCTCTCAGGAAGACTAGCGAGGATTAAATCCTTTAGAAAGGCCGGAGAATTCTTTGAATGGAGGATTAGTTTACGCCAAACAGAGCTACTGTTTTCAGATTTACTTCTGTGTTTCTTATCTTTTCTCATACAATTCTTGCCTGAAGAAAGATAAGAAGAACGCAAGTCATATATAATATTCTATTATCTGGATATTTTTAATTATTACAAATGGACTGACATTCGGGTCATATTTATTTATTGGCACTAAGATAGATTCCTCAAAATTTAATATTGCGCTGACTGCAGGAAGGCAAAAATAAGGTCAAGGGTCGTAATGTAATTGGATAATTTTGGAGCAATGCGTTCTTTTATGAGCAAAAACCCTAAATATGTTGGCAGTAAATGGAATTATTTTTATCGTATTACAGATTGGAGAATTCTTAGCTCGCTTAATTTAATAAACAATACGTTACACATTAACATTGTCTCGATTAAAGCAAATGTTGCTTTAATCTTGTTTAATCGTTGAATAAAAAGACGCAATTCTTTTCAGCAATGAAAACTTCGTCAAACGAAAATGTCAAGTCACTGGCACACGATAGAAAAGTGAAACTCGTAATATGATTGGATTATGATTCCAATGTATTGGATTTCCGTCGTCACTATCGGTTCAGTAACTTTTCCAAGATTGCCATAATTGTAATTTTCTTGTTGCAAGACTAAATTAATTTTTAACGCTCACATTTTTATTTGACAACGTAAATATAAAATTTATTATACTGTTGGCATCTCATCCTTTTATCTTTGCGAATTGACACTATTAAATGCAACATCAAAGTATTACTTTATAAAGTAAAAATTAAATATTAATTTATATATAATTATAATACTCGATGCTAAAAATGAAAATTAAACCAGAAAACTCCCAGTAATTGCAATATGTATCATAGTTATGTGACATAGCGCGCGTGTATGAGATGTTACGATGTTGAGAGTTTGAAAAGCCGTTTATCGCAAAAGTGTCTCGGACCATTCCTGAATCCCGCGTGCTCTTGAAAGGCCACTTTGTGTCATCGCGCCGATGGCAATCGATGAGCCTTCCAGCTCATTCATTTTCCACTCGTTTCCGTGCTACTCGCCGACATTCACGGAGAAAGACCGCACGACGAAATCACGTTCAATAAGCTCGTCTGCGATGAACGCGAGGGGGAGGATGCCTAGTAATAGGCATTAACGCGATAACTTCTCTCTAGAGGGAAGACCTTCGTGCACCAATTTATATAATAAAAAATATGTATGTGTGCCAGTCAAGTCGCGGCTTCTAATCTGACGTCTCCTCTACAGCACACCGGCTGTCCGTCCCCGGCGCGTTTACCCTTTTTTTTCTCCCTATTGTCTCTCTCTTGCCGCTTGCCACTCTCCGTCGCGACCTAATGACCCTTACGACAGATCGCTCCACGTGTGCTCGATATTCTTCACCTGTCCTCTTGAACGATAATCGAATACGACGTCGTGGAGCCGATCTATCTCTCCCACCGCAAACAGCGATAAATTACATCGCTGCCGCAGTGCCGAAAAATTAAACAATTTGAAGAATACTCGCGGGAAAGTGGACGTGAAATTTTGTGAGAAATTGATTTCTTCTGCCAAATAAATAGCAATCCCTCTCGAATGCCAAATCCCTCTCGTTTCCTATTTTCCGCAACGTAATCGGTCGGTTTTCAAGACGACTCAACTTAGATTCGCGCTTCCTTTTATTTTAGGTCCCGGAGGATATGCTTGACTTTTTTCATGTATTAAAAAGGTCTGCGGACTTCATGGAATTTGTGGAAGTTTAAGGCATTTGAGTTGCATCTCTTTGACCTTTAGATGCGGAAAAGAGCATTTCTTTGTATAAATGTCGAACTCCGATATAAAAGTCTAACGCGCTTTATTACAACTACGTGCTGTTGTTCCATGCGCTTTATTGAAAGAACGATAATCAAAACCAGATTAAACAAAATAAGCAATATAAAAATGTTTTAAAATGCAGTACCATTAAATACCCGTTGCATTTTTTTTAAATAGAGCTTTATTCGCATAATAATATTCGTCGATCTCGCGTTTCCCGAATGGTATTAAATTGCAGATTTTTTCAGGAGTATCTGAATTATAAATGATTATGATATTACATTTTCGAGTAGGAAATTAAAATATTATGAAGTGCTATATTCTTCGTGGCGGATACCGATCGTGTTCGGATACCATTCGTGTCAAGGGCACGCTAGGTTCGTTCGGCGAGCATCCCGAAGTGTGCGCACGCACGCAGGATAGACAGCGGACAGAGGAAACTGAAGCCGACGATGTGTGACACCGAGAACCTGGCACGAGCTTCCCATTTCGTGTACGAAGCTATTAAAAGTCGACAATCGGGACTACGGCGCTTAGAATTCTCTTTTCGTTTCGTCCGCGTGGCGAGCTTTACCACCAGCCTTTATCTCGAAGCTACTTAATTTTGCGGAACAATAAACGGTGATCTGTCATTCCGATTCGTCGACAGAAGCAATAGATGCGCTGTCACTCACGAAAATATCACGCTCGCGTGTTCCCGGTGAACTCAAGCCGGCGTGCGATCTATTTCGGTAATTATGTGTTGCATGAATAATACGCTGAGATTTATTTTGTATCATTTTTATATGCTAATGAAATTTTACGAAGAATCAAATCAATCATCATATACTGAGACAGTTAATCAGTTTTAATTAGCGGTAATTTATCTTTCCCCCCCAGATCGCAATCGGGATATAAATGCAGAATGAAAATTAGACTTATCGCAGTTGATTGCTCAAGGCTGGCATAATCGACTCTAAGCGAAGAGAACAGGATTCTTTATTTAGCCACTTGAAAGTCCTTCCGACATTCGCGCGACTGAGCACTAAAAGTCACCGTTACGGTAGATCAATCAGCCATTTAAACCCCGGCGTTTTCAACCCCTTTGAACTCCTCGTCGTTTCGCCACCCACGATGCTTTTACACATCAAACGATGCGCAGCGTGTGATTTCAAAATTTCCATTAGACACGTTGATTCGATACGGTGCTTCACGAAGGATCGATCGAGAATTTCAAGAATAGCCGATTGATCCGCTTTTCCGCTTCATCTAATGCAGAAAATTATAACAAACGTCTCATTGTTTCCACACCGCGATGTACCGCAATATTTTCCAATGTCGAAGCGTGATAGAGAAATTATACAAAATGAGTGTGTTCGAAAGTATACGCTATAGCATTAATGTAGTTTTTTTTAGTCAGCGATTTATATTTAAATTGTTTTTTTTTCACGCAACTCACGTAATCTCATTTT